CCCTTGGCAATTTATTCTAATATTTGACCACCCTGACAGTTAGGAATTTTTTCCTAATGTCCAATCTAAACCTCCCCTGCTGCACTTTAAGCCCATTACTCCTTGTCCTGTCCTCAGAAACCAAGAGGAACAAATTTTCTCCTTCCTCCTTGTGACACCCTTTTAGATATTTGAAAACCGCTATCATGTCCCCCCTTAATCTTCTTTTTTCCAAACTTTTTTCCAAAGTCTATTCCTCAGCTACACTTTTACTTTGCATTGCAAATTACTCAGCCCATTTGTCGAACCATAATTTCGATAATTACTCCAAACTAGCAGATTTGTTGCACCATCTCCCAGACACCAAGAAACCACTCCTGAAAGCAATAGTACAGGAGGGGTACGCGTCATGTAGCGCTGCACTTCAGATTGCTATGGATGTGGCTGACACAGCAGCTCGGGCCGCTGCGACTGGTATCGCCATGAGGAGATCATCTTGGCTTTCGTCAGCAGGGGCACCGAAGGAGTTGCAAAGCAAGGTTGAGGATCTGCCCTTTGACAAACTTAAACTTTTTGCGGCAAACACTGATGAGGTCCTCCACTCAGGAAAAGACTCACGCACCACTCTACGTACACTGGGAATGTACACACCTTCCTTCAAACGTAGGTGTTATTTCCCTTACCAACGGAGATATGACTTCAATTTTCCTAGACAGCAATCACGTCCTTTCGACAACCAGCGTCCTAGACAACGCCCCCAGCGCAAGCGACCACAGCAGAACCGTTCGGGTAATCAGCAGTCAACTAAGCAACGGATTTGACTTGCTTGTCGAGGATGCAAACCAATTGCCCATAGTCAATACGGAAGCTCATCATCTTTTTCACCATCGTCTACACTCTTTTTACCACCACTGGTCTACGATCACCACAGACTGATGGGTGCTAGAGGTAGTTCAATCCGGCCTCCCCATCCCTTTTCTCTCTCTTCCCCCTACCGCTCCTCCCTCCCCGTCCCTCTTCAGGGACCCCTGTCACGAGAAACTGTTGGAGCAAGAAGTTCAACGTTTGCTCACCATCGGGGCGATAGAGAGAGTTCCCAAGCAGTTTTGGGGAAAAGGTTTTTACTCCCGATATTTCCTCATACCAAAGAAGTCGGGAGGATGGAGACTCATCCTGGACCTTCAAAGACTAAACCGGCACCTTCAAAAGCAGTGTTTCAAGATGGTGACTTTATCTACCATTCTTCCGTCATTGAACAAAAAGGATTGGTTTGCAGTTCTCGACTTGCAGGATGCTTATTTCCACATAGAAATTCATGTGGCACACAGACATTTCCTTCGTTTCTGATTGGGGAGCGAGCATTACCAGTACAGGGTTCTACCATTCGGCCTGGCATGTGCTCCCAGGGTTTTCACCAAAATGTTAGCAGTGGTCGCGGCCCACCTACGCAGACTAGGGGTAACAATATTCCCCTACTTAGATGATTGTCTTCTCAGGGGTACGACCTACATGGAAACGTGTCATATGGTTCGGGCAGTATCCAACGAATTTGCTACCCTGGGCCTTCTCATAAACTTGAAAGTCAACACTAGTTCCATCTCAAAATCTCATGTTCATAGGTGCACGCCTCTATTCAACTATGGCGTGCGTGTATTTACCGATGGAACGTTTTATATTAATCAAGGAATTGGTACACACGGTGGTCCATGCTCCAATTCCCACACGTGTCTGTCTACAGCTGTTGGGGCATATGGCTGCTGCCACCATTGTAGTGGGCAATGCAAGGTTACGTTTTCGTTGCCTCCAGCACTGGTTAGCCACGGTTTACATCCCGTCAAGGCACAGTGTCCACAAGCCGCTAGTGGTGCCGCAATATGTCCGGGAATCCCTGCAGTGGTGGACCAACCCGACCAATCTTCTCACGGGCGTTCCATTTCATCGCCCTCAACCTACTACATAAATAACTACAGATGCCTCCCTCATAGGTTGGGGAGCTCACATGGGCAATCTCACAGTCCAGGGACGTTGGTCGGCAAGAGAAATGCTACTGCACATCAGTGTGCTCAAGTTGAGAGCGGTGTGGCATGCGTGCAAGCATTTTCAGTCATGCATTCAAAATACGACGACCAGGATTTTAACGGACAACATGGCGACTATGTTTTATATAAACAAGCAAGGAGGTGCCCGATCCCGTTCTCTTTGCGCAGAGAGTATCCGTTTATGGAATTGGTGTATTACCAACAACACTGTTCTAACAGCTTCCTACCTGCCGGGTGCCGACAACTTAATAGTGGACTCTCTCAGCAGACGTTTTCCACACGACCACGAGTGGGAGATTCACACGGACATACATACTGAATCGTATCTTTGCTCGATGGGGATTTCCGATGATCTGTTTGTGACAGAACTCAATTTGAAATGTCCCAATTATTGTTAGAGCCGGGATAGGACGCCATTCGCTGGGGGACACCTTCCTTCTCCATTGGGGGACGTCATTACTGTACGCTTTCCCACCGGTAGTATTAATTCCCAGAGTTCTCGAAAAGATCAATGTAGACAAAGCCCGAGTAATTCTTCTAGCGCCGGCATGGGCTCGTCAGCCTTGGTTCTCAATACTCCACCAGATGTCAGTGAAAGCGCCATATCCTCTGCCTTCTCTTCCAAATCTGATGACCCAGGACAACGGATCCCTCAGTCATCCGCGACCGGAGGTCCTACACCTCACTGCGTGGATGCTGGCTGGTTTACCGACTCCGAGCAATCCTGCTCTCAGCGCGTCAAACAAGCATTGTTGCATAGTCGGAAACAATCTACTCGAACCGCTTACACAGCTAAGTGGACAAAGTTCCGAGCATGGTGTGCGGACAATAACGTGCAACTACACGACAATGGCTTGGCAATTGCATCGCTACGGGTGCACTTGGCAGCAATTAATGCGTTCCATCATAGGGATGCTACTTCCTTGTTCGCTCACCCCACTACAGAAAGGTTTCTGAAGGGGCTCTCAAATCTCCACCCCCCTCCATCATGGAGCTTGGATCTGGTCCTTCAAACATTGACTCGTCCCCCCCGTTCGAGCCCTTAGCGACAGTAACATTACACTTACTGACAGTCAAGCTGGTTTTTCTCCTAGCCCTCACTTCAGCTCGCAGAGTGAGTGAGAGAGCAGCTTTTATGGCCTCGCCGAACCATACAGTTCTTTTGAAAGAATCGGTAACGTTGAGGACCCATCCGGCGTTCATCCTGAAGGTGTCTTCTGAATTCCACATAAACGAACCGGTGGTCTTACCATGCTTCTTCCCAAAACCCCATACCTCAACGCAAGCACCACACTTACATACCTTGGATGTGAGAAGAGCGTTGGCGTTTTACATCGACAGAACACGGGTTTAGGAAAACAGACCGTTTGTTGGTGTCAGTAGCGAGTCACTCAAACGGACAGCCTTTAACTTCTCAGCGTATTTCTAAGCTCATAATTTTATGTATATCCATGTGTCATTCGCTGCGAGAGAAGCCTCTCCCCTCTCGCCCCAAAGCTCATTCAACTAGGGCAGTTGCTGCTACTATGGCCTTTCTCAGTGGAGTGTCCTTTCGTGACATTTGCAGAGCGGCAACATGGTCTTCGTATGCGACTTTTATGAAGCACTACGCTATAGTCGAACAGTTTTCTGCAGATTTTTCTGTGGCTACAGCAGTACTGAATCATGCTGATAGTCTTGATTCCGGAGCGCTTTAATTCTGCTCTGTATACTGCTCCGGAGTCACCTAGAGTGGAGCACCCATGGGGCCACTCGAAGAAGAAAAGGAAGTTACTCACCCTGTGAAGTAACGATTGTTCTTCGAGATGTGCCCCGTGGGTGCTCCACTCTAGGTGTCAGGTCCCGTCCCGGCGCCGCGGCTCGGAGACTTTTCATAGTCGTGCTCCGCCGGCTCGCGCATGCGTAGTTCACCAGGATAGCGTTCGCGCCTTTGATCAGCCGCGCGCAAGCCGGCAACCGTCAGTTCCTCTCATCCGCTCATCTGAAAGAAACAATAAGAAGAAATCTCCGGAGCGGGGAGGAAGGGCGGGTCGTGGAGCACCCACGGGGCACATCTCGAAGAACAATCGTTACTTCACAGGGTGAATAACTTCCTTTTCCTGCTGTCTCCAATATGTGCTTCTGATGTGACTAACGCTAGCAGCAGCACTTACATGGCATGTGGGACCGAATGACATTCTCACCGAGTGTTGATGCTTTGAACAGTAAGGGAAATGAAGGTTTAATCTGGGTCTGAAAGATCTATGAAGGATTTTCAAAGAGGCTGTTTAACCTCTTACTTTCAACAGATCTGTACAGTTTTTGTTTTATGGCCCAGTTTTTTAATGGAGCTTTTAATTTCTCTCAGATTCATTAAACTCATTGAAAACCGCTTAAAACTGAAAATTACAACAGATTTGTAAAGCTGCAATATTATTTTCACCCATCTGTTAAAATAGTTTAATCCTTTGGCAGGGAGAAGTGGATTTCCCAACGCTAAGCTTCAGTTTGTTTTCTGTTAATCCCTTTCTCTACTCCACTCTCAGTTAAATAGAACAGCGTTCCTTGTCAAGAGAATGAAGGGCCTGAACCTAAACCTGTCTAAGTCAATGGCTAGATTCCCATTGATTTCAATGGATCAGAAACAATGCTGAATAGAACCAGGGTTGCCTGTAAGAGGCTGAATACTTCTGAACGGTTTTTAAGCATTATCTGTCAAATTATGTATTTGAAATATTATGTGGCTCTAGGAAAGCAAACACTCAGGATATGTCTGCACTACAGAGGAAGATCAAAAGTGCCACTGGTTGATCTTCCAGGGTTCGAATTAGCGGTCTAGGATGCTTCATTCTTTAAAGCTTTGCACAACCTGGGTCCTGACTTTTGATTCCTGAACTGGCCTTGCCAGCCCAACAGGGAACTTGTTACAGGAAGAAAAGAGTCTCTTCCCCCCTCAAATATATTTTTAAGATTCTGAGTCTTATTTAAACTTCCTGCTTAAAATCACAGTTGGACTCTAGAGTAGAGAACCTGAGCCTGATCTACTGTTTGAAGTCACTGTTATTTAGATCAGGCCCATGGTGCAAGAAAAGAGCATTAAGGTTGCATGTCCCAGTGCATCTTGAAAAGGCATCTGTGGCACAATGTGGGGGTGCCATTTCATATACAGTTCCCACTAGGGATGTAAAATTTTGATTATTTGGCTAATAGAATAGTCGATGCAATTTGCACTGACTATTCAATTAGTCAATAAGGGCACTTCCATCTTTGAAGTGTAGCAACAGTTCAGAGGTGAAAGCACTGCAGGGAGCACGGGGCCAGCAGGGGACTGCTTGAGTCCCCCGCTGGCCCTGTGCTCCCGGTGGCATTTCAAAGCGGCAGCGCTGCATGGACCTGGTGTCATTTGGGGACTCTTGAGTCCCCAGCTGACCCCAGAGCTCCATGCAGCATTGTCGCTTTGAAGCACCCCCTCCTCTTTCTGATAGAGGCAGTGGGGGGTGGGGGGAAAAGCGGCTAGTCGACTGCCCTGTCGACTAGTCTTTCACATCCCTAGTTCCCACACTGATAGGTTGGAGTTGCTCTTCAAAGCCTTGGAGTGTTTATCAGTGAAAGTGGAAGATATTGTAATTTTTACAGTTAGCGAGTCTGGGTGTAGCCTTTTGTGTCACCAGCTAGATGCCAGCAGAGCCACTTTCCTCGCAAAGCCTAGTGAGGAGGCAGGATGGATATAGATTTTCACCAGGGCTGGTGATGAGCAAATGTGTCTGTTTCTTTCAGCTGATCCTGCACCATATATTGATGGGATTCGGATCAACAGTCCCCACTATCTGACAAAGATAGCACTGACGTCTCCAGGGTCCCATACGTTTACACTGGTGGTATCCCAGTATGAGAAACAGAACACAATCCACTATACTCTCAGGGTACGTACTATAGATAAACAAAAACAGTACTTTAAACTGTGCTTGAATTCAGTGGGAAAACACAGCAAAGAGAAAATCCTGCCTCCTTCCCTCTGTTGGTAAGAGTGATGAGAAGTAAGTAGTGACTGTTGAGTCTGGGAACAGGGTTTAGAAGTTGATTGCCCTGTATTCATAAATATGTATTTTTAGACAAATATAGTTGTTTTTGGAAGGGGTTGGGGAAGATGTGAAGGAAGGGCAGGACACACATTGGAGAAAGGGAAGCTCTTATGTAGGTAAGTGCTTTAGTGTATGACTAGAGAAACGATGGGAGGTGTGATTCCCAGCTCAGATAGACATACACACACTAGTTCAGCATGAGCAAAGAGCTAACAATAGCAGTGTGGCCAGGAAGGTACATGGGGGAGGGGTCATCCTCTAACTGACAAATCCCATGCTAACGTGTCACCTTTCCTTTGCCACTACAGAAAATAAGACCACTCATACTCTTCTTCCTACGCCCTTCATGCTATAAATATGTGACACAGCATTGGATGCATTTCAATCGTGCTTGCCGCAGTGCACCTCTGGTTTACCCCAGAAGTACAGTACTGGTGGAAACAGAGAACCCTGCTGCTACAGTTCTGTGCATTTGTTCAGCTCTGTGTTCAAGTCATGAAAAATGAGAAATGAGCTGCATTCTCAACAAAGTAATGTATGAGAAGGATGTAGGTCAGAGCAACCAACTGCCCCTTATTTCATTACTCTTAATGTTAATTCTCAATCTCCAAAGGCATTCCAAGGGAAGGGAGGGCAGTGAAGAGTAAAGTGTAGAGCCAAAGCACTGTAGCACCAGTCACCTGGTGACTTTACATTTCATATACACAAATGTTGAAGGGCATGTTACTGTGGGGGGAGGTATGTATTGCTTCCCAGAACTCACTAGGCAGAAAGTGCTTCTGATTTTCATTTAATGTCACCAGTCTTTTGCAGTCCATATATAATCTGGTTGGTGTTCTTCTGCTCTGCAGATGAGCAGCTATTGAGCAGCTAAGCGGAGCTTTAGGGGACATGCACTGTGCAATACTGTGTTAAAAGTATCAGCACTTGTTAAAACCACTGTAGGTGGTCACAACTTGCTTTGGTGAAGAGTAGGACTTGAAAGGAATATGGGTGCCTGTGATTCCAGTTATAGTCTGAGCTTTCCAACTGTTAGTCATGTTCAAAGTATTTTTTTCCTTGTGCAAGGAAGGGGAATAGGAAATGTTCTCTCTTTGCTTAGAAACTATATTGTATAAATTAGCTGATCTCAGATGTCAGTCGGCATCTTTTACCTATCCAAGACAGCGGGGACTCAATCTCCGTATTTGCTGTGCACATAAAGCCTCTTTTTTCCTTATTGATATTTTGTCAGGGCTTCATACTATAAATGCTTGGCTGATTTGTGTGACTTCTTCCACAATCTAGGTATATTCAGTATGCAAGTTTACCTTTTCCAAGATCCCTACTCCATACACCATCTCCAAAAGGGTAAGAAATGGGATTTTCTTACATTAATCAGTGCTTGTTGTGAATCTGCTATGAAGGTGTGAATTTTCTGATATTTAGAAAGAAGGCATCTCCCTCTCTCTGGTGTTGGTTTATATAATTTTGTATTTGGTTAATTTCAGATTATTTTGTTTGGTTTCTTCCATGCAAAATGAGCTGCTTGATGAAACACAAAAATAAGCTTTAACTTAGAATGTCTGTATTGTATATCCTCTACAGCAGTTTCTCTCAACTAGTGGTACAAGTACCCCTAGGGGTCCTCGAGAGAAGTCTGGGGGAGAGGGGAGATATGTCAACACAACTGAAACTTGGAAAAAACTGAATTTTTGTTCTAAGTTTTACAGCGCTGTATTATTTTTGTACTTTTAACACTCAAACATTTTATCAAAAACGTTGGGAACCACTGCTCTACAGTAGTGTGATTAGAATAACTTGCAAGCTTCATTTTTTTTAATCTGTATCCAGAAACTCCTACTCTTTTGGGGTTGTAAAGCTGCAGTAGTTAGCAGTACACTCCCCAGAGTCATGGCCTCTGCACACTCTGTCCAAGGAAACCCACAGGGTCCCTTGTAAAAGGACATAGCATGGGTTGGGCTGGAAGTGATCTCTGGAGAATAGCTTTTCCATCTCCCTGATAGACATGCTTGGGCAATACTTTAGTTGCATTCTTCCCCTAAATGTGAGAAGTAAGGGCCCTACATGTATACAAATGTCTATCCACAGATAGAAATTGGTATCTGCTGATCCACAGGGCTTTACCCCAAGGAGATACTGCATCCAAAGTTAATGAGCCAGCAACTCCTCCCATCTCTGAAGCTCTTCCATCCCCAGCCAGGTCTCCTGCCTGGGATTGTACAGCCCTGATGGGATGGAGCTAGGGAAGCTGCATCGTCTCATTTCTTGGCATTTGTGCTTGGAAGGTCTAATCCTTGTATATTATTTATGTAAACAACATTTTATATTTATTTTGGGAAAAGTGTTTTTAAAAGCCCAAACTATTAAGGCAGCACTGCTTTTCTTTAGTGACTATCAATGCATTCAAAAAAAGTGGCCACTCTAATATCATTGTATGCCCACACTTTGAATAGTGTGTGCAGTTCTGGTCATCTCCTCCTACAAAAGCAGTATTAGAATTGGAGAAAGTACAGGGAAGGGCATCAAAAGTGATTGCAAGTATGGAACAGCTATCTGAAGAGAGATTAAAAAGACTGATACTGTTCATCTGAGCAAAGAGATATGCTAGAGGTCTAAAAATGAGTGGCATGGAGAAAGTGAGATGGGGAGTGGTGTTTACCCCTTCACATAACACGAGCTTCAGTGGTCACTTCATGAAAATAGTAGGCAGCAGGTTTAAAAGAGACATAAGGAAGAACTACTTTACACAAGGCACAGTCAACCTGTGGAACTCATTGCCAGGGGATGTTGTGATTGGCAAAAGTAGAACAGGGTTCAAAAAGGAATTAGATAAGTTAGTTCATAGAAGATAGGTCCATTGATAGCTATTAGCCAAGACAGTAATGGACACTGCTCATGCCTTGGGTGTCCCTACACCTCTGACTGTTAACAGCTGGGACAGAAAGCAGGGCTGGATCACTTGTTCTGTTCATTCCCTCTGAAGCATTTGGAATTGGACAGTCAGAAGACAAAATACTAGGCTAGATGGACCATTGGTCTGACCCAATATGGGCCATTTCTATGTTAAGAGCCAGAATGACGGGTATCACAGCTTAACCGTGCTTATGGCTGACTCAGAAATTCTGATGGTCCATGCCATGATTACTAGACTCTCCCCTCCCCACCTTTCAGAAGTGGGGCCGCATCGTTATTTAATACATTTTAGATAGCCAAACAGCAAAATGCCCAGAAATAAATACCCCCTTACTGTCATCAAGCAAAAGATGGATACTGAGTTTTTTAACCCAAACAAGAAGAGGTATGAGGGTTTGATCTAAATAGCTTTAATATTTTAGATAAAATATCAAACTTTTTTTCAATGCTGGTGTAAATCAGAAACAACTGTTGAAATCAATGGTGTTTCACAAGTAACTAAATGAAGCGAGATGAGTCCAGGACTTCACTTTATTTCTCTACTAAAAGTAGTGAGAAGGCAAAGCTAAATCTGCCCATACTACATAAGGCACCATATGTTTTGTTTCCCATCAGGTTAATGGGCAGTGGAAAGGTCATAGTGCTGGAGGCTGTGGAAATTTCAGAGATTCCTACAAAAACAACCCCATTTACCAATTTCAGCTGGAGAAGACTGGGCCATTACTAATTGAACTAAGAGGACCAAGGTTTGTAAAGAACAAGTGCTACATACTGGTACAGTTAAAGCAGTGGCTTTCAAAGTATGGGTCGTGACCCAGGACGGGCTGGTATAATGCCAGAAACTGGGTTGCTTTTCTGTAGGGCGATGCTCAGGCACACTTCCTCCCACTTGTGGACCCCTGGAGTGCACTGCACCTCAGAAGGGACCAGAAACAGGTTCAGCTCTTAGGTGGGGGCTCCACATGCTGCCCTCTCCTTGAGCACTGACTCCACACTTCTGGTTCCCAACCAGTGGGAGCTGGAGAGGATGGTGCCTGGGTATGAAAGAGTACACAGAGCAGCTTATGTGCCTCTTAGGACTCGGACTGGCTACTTCCGGTGTACAATATGGTCTGTGGTGCCAGAACAGGTGAGAAGCCAGCCTTAGACTCCCTGCTGCTCTGCTGTGTTGCTGCAGGTGATCCCCCTCCTGTACCCTAAGCCCATCATTCTTGGCCCACTCCAGAGCTCACGCTATAGTCAAAAGACATGCTGGGTTCTGGGCATCAGTTTTCTTCAACTTAGTTGTGAGAGTTTGAAAAGCAGAGTTAGAGCATGACTGACCAAGTGCAGGGTTTTGTGTTTTATACACTTCATCTGACAGGATGCATTTGAGCTTTAAAAGTCACTTAATTTCCAGCTGAACCACTCCTCATTACTGGCTTTTTCCTCATAGTTCTCATGCAGCTTCCATTCTCTCCTCAGCTGTTAAACATAGATATTTTTATGCTAAAGATTGCTCCTCTTTCTAGCCTCTAGAGAAAATGTAAGTGGTAATCCTCTTTCATCTGCTAGCTGGGTCTTGCATGGCAGGGAATCAATATGCCTTCCATTCCTTGCTGTGTCACGGCCTTTCTTGGCTGGCTTGCCACACCTGTGTGTCTGTCACCCTTGTACTAGACTCATCATGCAGGAGGACCTCACTTTATCCCTGAAGTTGTGCTCTCCCTGTATGGGGGAAGGCAGGCTACAGGTCACCTGTTTGTACTGTAAGCCCATGCCAATCCATGCTGTCATCAGTGTTGATGTGCATGCAGCTAAATGGCATGGCTGTGCTACAGGACAGCAGCATGTATGGAGGGAGGTATATGCATAGCACTAGCACACTATTTGTTGTGAAAGCTCCCAGATATTTCATATATATGCCACAGAACATGTGCCCATCACCTCTCAGATAGGAAGTGATAATTGTGCATAAGCTGTACTGCATACCACTTCCCTAAAGGGGAGGGAGGTAGATGACTTCTGCAGTTAATCTGTAGGAAGAATTTAGGAAGGCAGACTAATGTAGACATGGAGGCTAACCATGCCTACAACCAGTGAGATTCCAGTGACTTCAAAGGTCTGTGCACAAAATCCAATCAAATACTATGCTCATGTAGTCACTCGGTGATGGCTGCAGCAGTGAGTGGCAAGTCTTCTGGCCCCCGCTTTCTCTTTCCAGCAGGCACTTATGCATTGCTCCTGTGGTCCCTGAGCAGTATTAGGGGCAGGTTTTGGGGTTTTTTGCAAAGTGGTAAGACATCCCCCTTAGGTGAGGAACTTGAGCTTGTAGCTGCAACCCTTTTTTTCTCCAAAAAATTAGCAACTGTGGAAGCAGTTTCAAATAAGCCAAACTCAGGCTGTTGCCATGTCAACTACATGATTAACCAATAAGTTTGGGCTTATCTGTTAATGCTATTGACTACACACATTTTTCTCCCCTCCCCTGCTGCCTCTGTATCAGAGGCAGGGGGGAGGTGGGAACAGATATGCCAGTTCCAGCTCTGTAGAGTGGCCTGTCCCCCACCCAGGCAGTGTGTGTGTGGGGGGGGAGGGGTAGGGGAACCAGCTTCAAAGCTGGCTCCTTTGGAGCTGCCTGCTTCCTCCTTGTGCTGTTGCTTGAGATAGTGAGGCAACTGGGGGTAGGCAAGGGCAGGTAGAAGCCAGTGCATATGAGAAGCCAACTCCCTGCATATATCAGCTGCCCTACAGGTACCTACCCCCTCCATTGCTACCTCTTATCAGAGGCAGTGGAGAGGGAGATGGTGCATGTGGGGAGCTGGCTTCTGCCTGCGCCTCTTCTCCCTGTGCTGCCTCCTCCCCACTCAACATGAACTGCAAACAGTTCAAGCCATTGCATTTACACAAAAACCTGATATTCTTGCCTAGGGATGTTAATGAAGTTACTTGCCTGGCACTGGTCTGCTGCTGCAGAAATCATTTGGTGCTTTCCTTCCATTGCTCCTGTTTGTTGGGTTTTTCAGGGTGGAGGGCAGAGGGCATGCACTTCCTCTTACACATGGGCTGCATCTAGACTGGCATGATTTTGCGCAAAAGCAACTGCTTTTGCGCAAAATCTTGCCGCCTGTCTACACTGGCCGTGAATATTTGCACAAGAACACTGACTTTGTAATGTACAAAATCAGTGGTTCTTGTGCAAATACTCTGATGCTCCCGCTCAGGGATAAACCCCCTTGCGCAAGAGGGCCAGTGTAGACAGCAATGTTAGTTTCTTGTGCAAGAAAGCCTGATGGCTAAAATGGCCATCGGAGCTTTCTTGTGCAAGAGAGTGTCTACACTGGCATGGATGCTTTTGCGCAAAAGCAAATCTTTTGTGCAAAGGCACATGCCAGTATAGACGCCCTCTTGCGCAAATATTTTAACGGAAAAACTTGTTAAAAGTATTTGTGCAAAATCATGCCAGTCTAGACGCAGCCATATAGAGTTAACTTGTCCTCTGCTGCATAGAGGCAATTTGAGACACATTCAATGAACTCTGGACCCATTTGACTTAATTTGTCCTGTGGGCGCTGCTTCTCAGCACATGCATGGACCTATAAGCTTAAGCCCCTTAGAGCTGTGGACATGTGTAGCCCAACAGGCATCTCTACTATTGTAGTTCTTGGGCTCAAAGCATTTTTGTAGCCAGATACTAAATTTAGTGCCCAGGTTTTTGAATGTAAGTACTTACAAAGTGTAGTTTAGTGGCAAAAATAGTTTTGGGCTAATTGCCAGAAATAACTCTCCAATGTGCCAGAAGCTTGTAGATCTTTCACTTTAGTACAGTGGTCCCCAACGCGCTGCCCGTGGGCGCCATGGTGCCCGCCGGGACATTTATGTGCGCCCACTGAGTGACCAGGGCTGGACCAAGCCATTCTTGCACCCTGGGCACCTGGTGCATGAGTGGCCCCACCCCCGGCAGCCCCAAAAGGTTGGGGACCACTGCTTTAGTAGTTAGACTTACCAAATACTGTTTGAAATTTAAAACAAGGATAATGAAATCTCTTTACCTGTAGGCAGTACAGTGTGGGATTTGACCTAGTCACGGTATCTACAGTAGGAGATCCTGGTACATCTGGCTTTCAGAAGAAAAGCAGTGGTGACTACAGGTAATGTTCATTTGATTACACATACACTCTTCTTCTCCCTTAAATACCTTATTAAACTGGTCTTGTTTTATTTAATCAGATGTGGATTTTGCTACATGGAAGTGGAGATCATACCTGCTGGAGTTTACAATATTATTCCCAGCACCTTCCTGCCGCAGCAAGAAGGTCCTTTCTTCTTGGACTTTAATAGCGTTAATCTGCTTAAAATATCACAACTGCAATGAGGTGGCAAAAGTTGTTTTTTCCTGAAAACGGGAAAATATCCCCTTCCCAAACCATTGATGTGATATGCATAGAACTAAAAATGTAATAGCCCAGGGCTTGGGCTGTCAATTACTACATCAAGCTCACTGCATTAGCCACTTTCAGAGTTTACTCATGCTTTTTGCTGTGCAGCCATTAAGGCAAGGGCATGCTTCAGAAGTTGACTGAAATGTAAATCTTTAATCTTTTATTCATGTTAATGAATGGCAGGCCTTAGTTTACTACAGTTTGACACCTTTATTTCCTTGTTTTGAAGTCTGTCCTCCTCCACCACCACCTTCCCAGGTAGCTTAGTTCTAATAATCCTCACTTAACTTTTACAGTAAATGCTTTGCAGAAGAAAAAAGTGTAATGTTGGTTCAGATCTATCAGCAATAATTAAGTTAAAAGTCTGGGGCTGCTGATCAAGATGTTCAAAAGCAGTTATTTCTACTACCCAGGGATTTTTTGGAGTAAGAAAGCCATGGTGTAAGCAGTATGCATTCCTGTATCTGCTTCAGCCAAAAAAAAGGGGGGGGGGCGGTATTGCCATGGAGGAAGTAAGATCAAACAAAACCAAACATGCCAGTGAACAAGTTTAGGGTGACTAATGTGGGGGCAATCTTACTGCTTAGTTTGCTATTGCAAATTAAGAAGCTTAATAGCACAGGGACACTTAATCTTCTCCAGTTGGACAGCAGCTGTGTGGAGAAAATACATTAAGATGTGCCTTTTTATTGCAGTTTTCTGAATAATAATAATAGACTAGGAATTCAGTTGTTATCTAACTCCTTGCTTATCTTGGCAAGGAAATTGTAACTGTTTTATTACAGGATAAAAACTGCTTTAAGAGCTGTTCTGTTATGGGAGGGTGAGGAGGTAGCTTAGACCCAATTTCTCTTCGGAAGCAAAGCAGCATGTCTAGTTTTAAACATCTTAATGTAAGTTATGTAGGGTAAGATTTCAGCTAAAGCTAAATTAGCCCTTGTTACATAGTGTACAAAGGACTATAGCTCCAGCTCCAGTCACTTATTCTATTTACAGGTCAGAACTTGTGTGTGGTGTTCCACCTGCTGCACCTTACACTTTCAAAGGAGATTTGCGAAGCCTTAGTTTTATCCCTTTAAAACTGTGTAACACAACCTGGCTATTTGTGAAAATGTACTGACCAGGAATTAAGCAAGTTGACTTGCCCAAATCAAGCTGTTACATCATCCTCTTTGATTCTCTGTAGAGTAGCAGCCAGTTTTTCCCTCTGCTCTCTTAACTAGCTTGCTGTATGGTGTTTATATCAGTTATTTGACTTGAAATTGAACAGGGTTCCATGCACTGGATTACAATTTAATATTGCTTAAAGGAAGAATCTTCCATCTCCATGCAGCTATAACTCTCCCTGCTGTAAAGGCAAGATGTGCCTCTTGAAGTATACAAAGGGTACATAATCTTACCATGCTGCAGGCATTTACAGTCTATGTATATCTGGCCTCAAACATTAATGGAAACTACAAAAGTCAGTTTATTTTAAACCTTAAAATATTACAGTTTTGATTACTATTTAAAAGCACTTTACATCACTTATCTGGGAAATGGAACACCCTAGTACACAAGACATTTTCAGTCATGACACCTCAGACAGGATAGAGGCATATGCTGGTTTTGTGCATGCTAGTCCACTGCAGTGAAGGCATGGGTGGGGAGCTTTTCTTTGATGTATGGCCCCTGATTTAAAAAAAACAAACTCCATACTGCCTTATTTGTTCACTTGGGAGCCAGGTCAAAGTTAAAAAAAAAACAGACCTATCTTAGGGACAGCTTGCACTCAACAGCTCCTTGGAAGTGGATCCAAGCCAGCCTGTAGATTCTCCATACTTGATTTAAGGACTATCTTTTTAAAAGAGGAAAGCAGATTACCTAACTACTAATAATAAAGCAATCAAACACTGTCACATTTTAATCTTGTCCTAGAGAGATTTCAGGAAAACCCTGTTGCAGAGTCAGGAAGAAACAAAACTGCCCAACTAAATCTCCAACAATGACAATTCTGATTAAAAATATTTGTAGGTGTTGAGAATCTTTTGGGTGTTCTATTCAACTTTTATATAAGAGGTGGGAGACTAACAAAAGGATAGACAGCTGTCTAAAAAGTTGAACATAAGAATGACCATACTGGGTCAGACCAAAGGTCTTCTGCAAGTGGCCAATGCTAGAAAGATCCGCATAACAATCTGCACTTAGTAGTAGCAACTAGTTTCAATCACCAGCTAGTTAAGGGGTAGTGTATATAAGGAATATGTCACCAGATGTGAACCAATTGCCCTAGAATTCCATTTCTTTAAAAAGACATTGTGTATTGAGCCTGTAAAAGAATAACTCTTCACTGAATTGCCTACAGTGGGAGAGAGGATTCTTACAGTGAGCACAGTCTTCAGTATCCTTCAAAAGGATTTTTGCCATGCCCTGCATTTCCCCCCTACAACTTATGCACTGTAGACTCTACAGTGTGTTGGTGAACCCTACCTTAGAGCTGCTGAGGATATCATGCTTTACCTTGTTAGGGCCCAGACTTGGGCTGTCTAAGAGTCATTAGGTTAATCATCCTTCTTGTTTACTCCATCAGCATTCTGAAATGTGATTTAATCCATATAGCTGCCTTTTAGAGAGAGCACTAGCAGCATCCACGTGGTTCTAAAATGTAGTAAAGCTGAGATGCTCTTTTGGGTGTTAGACTTCCGACACATGTCGGCTGTGTCTAGACTAGCATGATTTTCTGCAAATGCTTTTAACAGAAGTTTTTCCGTTAAAAGCATTTGCAGAAAAGAGCGTCTAGACTGGCACGGATGCTTTTGTGCAAAAAGTGCTTTTGCGCAAAAGCATCCGTACCAATCTAGATGCAGGTTTACGCAAGAAAGCTCCCGTAGCCTTTTCACCATCGGGGCTTTTTTGCGCAAAACAGTTTTTACCTGTCTACACTGGCCCTCTTGCACAAAAGCATTTGCGCAAGAGGGCTTTCCCCCAAGCGGGAGCATCAGTGTATTTGCGCAAGAACACTGACAATCATACAGTAGATTATCAGTGTTCTTGTGCAAATTCAAGCGGCCAGTGTAGAGAGCTGGCAAGTTTTTGCACAAAATCTTGCCAGCCTAGACACAGCCAGAATGTTAACTTCAAACATTGTTAATGTAAAGTCTGACAAGATTGTATTTGCATATTTTGTACAGCAGAAATACCAGAGGCTTGTGCACCTGCAGGTGAATATGCCATGTACAAAAGTTTGAGAAACATGTTAGAACAGCCTGACAAAATTTAAGATTAAAACTGAGTACCAATTTTCAGTGCATATTATGAAAAGCATGATTTACTTTTTGGTAAAGCTCTGTTTACATTGCATCTCACTTTAAGGTTGTTAACTTGTTACCACATATGCTTTTTATGTCAAAGGCTTATTTTTATACTTCTACCACCACACTGCCAGCTAGTGCAGTATTAAATCCAAGGATGTTTTGAGCCAATGTAGAGAAAGGTAACCAGCAAGACCTTGCTCCTTTGGTATTCTATGGTAATGTTCTAGTCATATCCATTTGTCATTATGTATTTGGTACACAAGTGGCATTTACAAAAAGTGAAATAAAATGAGCTATTATGAAAGGGCATTTTCATTTCTACTACAATGTCTGTTTGCCAAAGCCAGTCTGAACATGATAAAACAAGCTATGCACACACACTTCAATTGGAAACTTAGCTGCCAAATGGTGAGGTAGCTGGAAGCTGAGGCCTTTCCACGTATTTACTCTGTTTGCCTTCTGCTGTACGTTTGCAGTGCACCAGCTGCTAGGTTCTTGGTCCACGTGACACCCCAACATACTTTCTGCTAATGCTGTCTCACCCTACTGGAAACTGCCTGGAGGGGTCATAAAGGTAATACACTGAGTAATAAGCAAACATTTCCTAGAGTGCAGGTGCTTTGGATTGTTAAATAACTTACCTTTTAATAGTAGGGCGGATTGGATGCAAAGGGAAATAAGGGCATGCATTTGGGAGCTGGCATGCTTGCAAAAAGTAGATACAAGCTGACCCAACATCCATGGTCTGGCATCATTTTAGTTAACTGGATGTTAATCTATCATGGGTATGGCCAAGTTTCCAGCAGTCCCTTATAAAGCTTGTTTGCAGCCACCAGTCCTGGCTCAGTGTTCTGTGCTGTTGTTCAGCTCTCATTTACCCTTAAAAGTCTAAGAGCCCAGTAAGCAGTGGAAATGTTTGACTTCCCGTGGTTTGGCAAATTCTCTGCTTTGGCACTGAACACGTCGGTGTAGAGAGGTTCAACGTGTACTCCGCACTTAAGTGCTTGGTTGGTCTACCTAACTTGAGGCAGAATGGACAAATGGCTTAGCTACGGTTAGGTGAAAACATGAAAGTTATGCAGTTTTAGTAAACACTTTTATTTTACTTCAATTACAGTCTAATCATATTTCCTAAAGTATTTATTACTTCATAAACTGGAGACAAACACTTCAGTATTTGTCAAGCTGGAAGATGCTAGTAATCTAAAGGGGTTAAAACTTTGTTCAAATAAATTAATAATTAAAACTGTTCAAATAATCATAAGCTGTTACACACAATGAAGCACAATTAATTATTTGAATGGGCTCCCTTCCCCATGACTTTGCCTTTTTTGTTACAGCTTTTAATAGTGAAATGAAACCGAGTTAGACAATGTAGAACACTTTTCTTTGATGCATAAATGTTTCCCTCCCCCCCCGCAAAAAACACTATCGAAATGTGGCTCATCTTCAGTCATACGAAATTCATAATACCAAATGAGCCAGGAATGTAAATCTAGTTACAAAGCTGTAATAAGACAATACCTGTCCACATACTGCCGAGTATTCTTAGTTGCTGTAAGTCCTGTTTGAAAATTTACTATACCAGATTTGGGCGTTCTCCAATACATTAAGTCTGATTAAGTCTTACACTTCACTAACAGCTAGTGCATTTGGCATTAGAATTACAAGATAGGATGATTTCATTGAGTAAATGTAGACCATGTGCACACTTGTAAAAAAGAAGTTTAAATTTCTGACTATGGTTTACTCCAGAACTACATTTTTAGTATAGCTACTGAAATATTTAGTTCAGATACACTGATACTGTACAAGACAATGTGGAAAACCAACATGTTTACTGTAGCGTAAAGAATTTTACATTTACTTTGAGACTACACACATACACGCAAGCCAAGGGGCAGGGACAAAATACACCAGTACTGCAAAACATGGAATAGAAAATACTTTGGATGATAAATTTCCATCTAATAACAAAAAAAGAAAACAAACAGAATACTTTAGATATAATAGGGTACTTTTAGAAATGTTCAGCCACCAAAACTGAGAAATCCTAGGATTTTTGCTACCACTTATTAGAATAACTACTAGACACCACTACTGCCTAAGAGTTGCTGCCAAAACATGCCCCCCATTCCCTTTCTATTTTTAGTGAACAGTTTCTCTAGGGGATACTAAAATTGCAAGTCTCAAGAAATTATAAAACCTTACATGTTACAACACATCAATCCACATTAGCAGCAACTTTTCTTCATGCGTCTCCTTAAGAACAAGCCTTTAATATTCGGTAGGTCAAGGGCTACAACTACTTTCTGGCACACTAATTCATTCTGTTTTACAGTAACATTTTTGAAAGTGCTGAAAAATGAAACTAAATTCTTAGAAATTAGTTAGATCTCATTTTGGTCACTGGATTCACCCTGCAAAAGTTACAACCCCCCCTTGAAAAGTAAGGGGGCCCGCAGGAACACACAACTATTGAAAAATACCACCATATTTCTGCCACCTTCTGAGGCCAGTACTTCAGGTCATGACTAGCTTCCCCATGAGCACGGGAGGCCGAGCGAAGACTTCTAAACCTACACATGCAACAGCTTCCTTGTATACAAAATACTTCTACTGTTTCTGAATAGTACACACACAGGTGTTCAGAGAATATGCCAATTACACTTCAGAGAGCCACTCTAAAGTGTGTCTCATTCTACAAAACAAGCCAAACTGCTCAGGCCAAGGGTTTGGCTTGGATTTCAGACCCCCCCACCCCCGCTGGCATGTGTTTATGCAGGAACAACACTAGTTATTGCTTCAGCCAGGCTGCTACAAAGCAGTTTACAAATGCTGTGAAATACAGTGAGCACAGCTTACACTTTGACAACTTGTCTGTCCTACAAAGATTTTACTGAAAAAATACTTCAGCCCTCAACATCAATTAGACGTCTTTAGTGCAGTTTTAAATTTGTAGAGTAAACGCTTAAGATTTGGCATATATTAAATAGTTATTGGCACAATGTTCTTCAGACATTTTGAAGTTCATGTATAAATATTTATGCTTCACTTAACCAGAACAGAGCAGCAGGAGGACTCAGCCAATTTGCACAGCTTTTCTGTCTGCAATGATCCCCTCTTTGACTTTCATGCACCGGAGCGAAAGCTGCTTCATTCGGTTATCCAAAGCCAGACCCTCGGCGGAGTTGCCACTGCTGCTCCTGTTCTTGTTTGCTTTGTTGCTCATCTTGTTCTCAGCCCCTTCTGCCCTATCCCCTAAAAAGGGAATTAAAATATTAAGCCTGAAGTCATAGAATGCTATTTGAGGTCAAGTGGGCACTCATACCACTTCCCTCTCAAGTGTTTAACCACCTAAGACAAGGAGTAACACTAAAATAAGGGAGGATGGCCTTCCAAGATGAGCTTTGTCTTGTCCACTGCATCACTAAAT